GAATGGAGACTGGGAGTGGGTTGCATTCAGCCTCTGAAATTACTTGACCCCGTGACGCCGCTGATTTACGGCAGCATGAAGCTGGGGTCACACCCTTGGATTTTTCTTTCTCCGTGTGAAATAATCCCTCTCTGAAAAGATCCCAAACTGATCGAAATCCCAGAAGCCGTCCCAGGTTAGAAATCTGGGCTGGGATTCTCTGTGGGGCCCAAATTCCTCTGAATGTCAGCCCTGAAGCCCCGGGGACAGGACTGGCCTGAGCACTAGGACATGCCAATGTTGGTTAAAAATCAAGCGCAGACCCGCATTTGGGTTTCACCCCCCTCATGGAGCATCCTGGGAATTCAGAACCTGCCGCTCCTGGCTGAGCCTTTCTCAAGGAGACTTTCCCTTCTGACCAACTTTGTCACTGCAGCTAGGGCCACAACAGCACGGCCTCAGGGGCTGACCTAGGACCCAGAGGCTTGGGTGCTCTTTCCTGCCCTGCCATGTCCCTCAAGGTCAGTGGTTCCCAAACTTTTCGGCATCTTGCCCCCCTTTTTGATTTTTGAGAAACCCTCACGCCCTCCGTCCCAAAAAAATAGCAGCAAAACAGTGGGATTGCTGGGAGGTGTGTGGGGCTGGGTAGCCTCGCGCCCCCCCCCTGGAATTTCTTCACACGCCTCCCCCAGTTTGGGAACCCATGCTCAAGGCAATCTCAGCCAATTAACTTCCTCTCTCTGGGCCTCAGTTTCCCTTCTCACCCTGCATTTTACTTGGCTGATGAGCCTTGCTCAGGGCTGGAACTGTCCCTCACACTATTTTGGGTAGGGTCCAGCCGAATCTAGGTCAGATCTCATCTGGGCATGGTAGCGGCTACTGAGATGCCGTGAACAACAGGCCGTGATACAATCAGCAATGCCCTCCCCAGCTTTGGACCTGGATGGTGACACTGAGACACAGGCTGGCCTGCTGGCGCTGTGATTTAACGTGTCACAGCGCCTGCTCCGCAGAGTCCCCCCGTTTCGCCAGAGGGAGCTGGGTTTCAAAAGGACTCAGCCTCTGGGGGAAAAGTTTCTCGTGTTAGAAAGCTTTCCAAGTCTCCATGGTCAGCCCTTCCTGCCACCCAGCCATGCCATGTTTCGCTGCTCTTGCCACATCCGTAGCATTTACCTTGTGTGTCATTTTCCAGACCGCTCAGGCTTTTCAGAGCTGAACCAGGCAGGCCCGCCTGGCACAGGCAGCTTGCCCTGTCGTTAACTTCCAAAGCACCTGGAAGCAGTCCCCTACCTTGTACTCCTGAGCAGCTTCCTCTATGGGCACCGCCGTGTGCGCCCGGTGAGCCTGGGAGAGATGGCAGACCACACAGATGGGGCTTCGGTCCTCTTCGCAGAATAGTTTGAGAGGCTCCTGGTGTGCCCCGCACATCCCCTTCCCCCCTGCTGCCCGTGCTGCCTGCAGACTCAGCCGCTTGGCTATTTCTATGACATTTGCCAGCTGCTTGTTGGGCCGGAGGTTTCTCTGCTGCACAGGGTCTCTGCACTGCGGGCAGGAGGCGAGTGGATCGGGTGCCTCCCAGCACCGGCTGAGGCAGGCCTGGCAGAAATTGTGCCCGCACTCCAGAGTGACAGGTTCTCTGAAGTACTCCAGACAGATGGGACAGGTCGCTTCATTCTGGAGACTTTCTGCAGAGGTCCCTGAACCCATGGCTGCCTCCAGGCAGTGTCCCTGGATTGGTGTCGCTTCCCTGAGCTCGGAAATAAGCCCCACCTCTAGCAGCACCTGGGTGTTTCCCTTCCTGGGACTTTGGCTCATGCCGTTTGTTTGTTTGTTCACATCACAGCCCTGGGCTTCTGTGAAAACCGTACCACGAGGCTGAGCTCTGGCCCTGCAACCAGCCCCCAGTGCTACGTGGAGAGGCACTAGGGCAGGGGTCTCCCACCTTTTTAAGCATGAGATCACTTTTTGAATGTAAGGGCAATCCAGGATCCACTTCAAACCAAAACATGCTTGCCCCTGCTCACTCCATCCCCCATCCTCACTCACTTTTATCAGGCTGGGGGCAGAGGGCTGAGGTGCCGGGGAGGGGAATATAGACTTTGATCTTGAGCTAAAGGATCTGGAGTGTGGGAGGGGTTCTGAACTGCGGTAGCTGAGCAGCAAGGGGGTTCAGGGTGCAGGGGGACTCGGGGCTAGAGCAGGAGTTTGGGGTGCAGGAGGGGTTCAGGTCTGGGGCCAGGGTTTGGAATGCTGGCTCCAGCTGGGCACTGCTTCCCACCGGTGGCTTCTGGGTGGTGATGCAGGGGACTAAGGCAGGTTCACCCCTACTCCCTAAAGCAGCCAGAAAACTCCCTCCATCTCTGCCCCCTACCTGTGGAGATGGGGTACAAGGTGGGGGGAGGGGCACCCTGACATCAGCACCCCTCTTCCTCTTCTTCCCGTGCCCTGCACAGCAAACAGGAGCTCCCAGGGGTGAGTGTCAGCTCCAAGGCAGAGGGCAGGAGCAGCACAGAAGTGCTGAGAGGGGCAGATGAAGTGCCGGCACTTGACAGCTTCCAGGCCAAGCCTGTCAGGATCCCCTGTCAAAGGTGCCAAGGTCTCCTCCATAGATCCCTATCTACTGGTCGGTGACCACTGCTCTAGGGCTTCCTAGATGCATCAGGATCTGCCGGGGGCCCATGAGCTTGCAGGAGCAGGAATCTAAGGGTTGGGGTGTTAAGAGAAATACCAGCAATTGAAATAGTCCGGGTGGACTCAGCAAGTTTGCTGAGACAGCCCCCGTGTGATTTTATTGCAGGTTTATAGCTTGTTGAACATCTAGTCGAGGGCTACTCAACACACGACCTATGGGCCACGTGTGGTCCGCGGCCCATTTGTTTGTGGCCCACAGGTGGGAGCTAAAACCAAAAAGTAGTCAATATAAAGGTCGTCTGTTGAGGCGCGTTTCAGTGGTTAAATACCTGGACTGTCATTGCTCCGTAAAAGTGCTGTCCTATGGGTGGAAATTGGGTAAATGTTGCATGTTATTAATATCAACAGAACTGACTTAAATGGGGCCTGTCTGTTGTGTAGTTTTGCCTTAATCTTTGTATTCATGCCCGACAGTGTGAAAGAAGCTATTTGCCTGCATATTTGCATGTCTATGCAACCACACTTAAGTTGCAGCCCTCGGCATGTGCTGTGAGTGTCATTGTGGCCTCCGGGGCTTCCAAAGTTGAGTAGCCCTGGTATAGAGGATAGGCACGTAGCCCATGGCATGACATTTTTGTAAAAGGAAATTTCAGTGCAAGATGTACTCTCTCTAATCAGGAGCAAACCCTGGCACAGAAGGGCGACATTGTGATAAATATGCTAAACTTTATGACTTTGCAGTCTAAAGTTTACAGTCCGGCCCCATCCCTCAAAATGCCTGACCAACCCATTTTAAGTTTTCCATTTTGTAAAACTCCACATACAGAGGGGACAGTAAAGGAACGTCTCCACGGCGGCGCTATTCCGGGGATACATCACCTAATAAACCATCTTGTTAGTCTTTAAAGTGCTACATAGTCCTGTTTTTTTTCTCGAGGAAAAGTTTCTCGTGTTAGAAAGCTTTCCAAGTCTCCATGGTCAGCCCTTCCTGCCACCCAGCCATGCCATGTTTCGCTGCTCTTGCCACATCCGTAGCATTTACCTTGTGTGTCATTTTCCAGACCGCTCAGGCTTTTCAGAGCTGAACCAGGCAGGCCCGCCTGGCACAGGCAGCTTGCCCTGTCGTTAACTTCCAAAGCACCTGGAAGCAGTCCCCTACCTTGTACTCCTGAGCAGCTTCCTCTATGGGCACCGCCGTGTGCGCCCGGTGAGCCTGGGAGAGATGGCAGACCACACAGATGGGGCTTCGGTCCTCTTCGCAGAATAGTTTGAGAGGCTCCTGGTGTGCCCCGCACATCCCCTTCCCCCCTGCTGCCCGTGCTGCCTGCAGACTCAGCCGCTTGGCTATTTCTATGACATTTGCCAGCTGCTTGTTGGGCCGGAGGTTTCTCTGCTGCACAGGGTCTCTGCACTGCGGGCAGGAGGCGAGTGGATCGGGTGTCCCGAAAGCGCTGTTCTGCCTCTTTGAAATAAACCCACTATTTCGAAATATAACGGGCTCGCTCTTCC